CAACAGAATTCTGTGAATGAAATTCGATGAATAGATATTTCCGTGAATCGGCATTGGCGGTGAACTGTCATTCTGTGAAATGCCTTTTGGAGAAACGTCGTTCTGCACCTCATGGTCGACACTGACTCGCGCTGTTGTCAGGAGTTCGCGAGGTGTTTGTCGCTCTAGAAACGGAGCATAACTGTAAGAACAAGTTAGTAGGTTTCCCTAGTGATGTTTGGGCTTGTAGATCGAGAGCAACAACTGCATTAGCCAACCTGATCCTATTAACTAACGAGGGGTGAGTGAGTTCCCCGACACACTCGGTGTGTATTGAGCAGGGAGTAGTGCCGCTTTGCAGGTTAGCCGGGAGGAAGGTTCGATGCATTTGCCGAAAGGCGGGCTCACGCTCCGGCATGGCTACACTTCCCCTTGTCTAACCCCCAAGACGAAATGTAAAATAGTAGCCGACTGGCCGAAATAAAAAAATTAAAAGGCTTCTCGTATGCTCAGGATAGCAGTTGTTAGTCAGCTCTGCTACAAAGGGCGCGTTCGAATCGTCACTCTTTGACTTTTCGAGGAGTTTCGTTTTTCTAACGAGGTGGCTTTTTTTGCCTCTTCAGAAAACGAAAGTCTCCTCGAAACTCCACAACCTCATCCGATGGAAGAGGTGGATTTGTTCCGAAGAGTTTGGAATACATGGTCGATCGAATCGGACGTCATTATCGCCACAATTCCACTGAAAACTCTAAAAATGATAGAAACCGTTTTATTGGGACGCTTCAACTACATGTCATGTAAACTCTTTTTTTAAAAGAATTTGTTCGAAAAGTTAATGAAGACAATTCGAACGCTCCCTAAGGGTCAAGTCGCCAGGAAAAGCGCGAGCCATCAAGCATGTAAGCAGTGGCTCGGTGCCTCAGTTGTCGCCGAAGTCGCTACAGCCTCCTCCTCCTCCTCCTCCTCCTCCTCGTACAGTGGTCCCCAGTGCGGGATTCGACAAGATGCTTAGGAGGCAACAGTGTTGTGAATGGCCAACAGTCTTCAGTGCTTGTTCTGCACCTCCATAGGCGGCACTGACTCACGCCGCTCTCTGGAGGGTGCCAGGTGTTTGTCACGCTGGAAACAGAGTGTCAATGTAAGGTGGTATCCGTAGTGATGTTTAGGCTCGGAGAGCACTACAGTCATAATGCAGTGCTCTCGAAGCGCAACTTTCATTAGCCTACTCAAGCTCAACTGAGTAAGTTGTGATATCCCCCAAACACTATGCATTGAGCAAGGAGTCGTGCTTTCTTCCAGGTTTGCAAGTCGAAGGTTCAGGGACTTCTCGTGTGCTCTGGGTGGTAGTTGTGCGTGTCAGTCAGTGTCGGTTAAAGTCGTTAGGAAAGGCACGAGCTGTTACGTAGGTAGCAATGCCCAGTTCCTCACGTATCGCCGAAGTCGCTACATACGACCTCCTCTTCGTATTGTACTGTTGTCCCCAGCGCTGCACGCAACGCGGACTTGCGACAGGATGGTTCGGAGGCAACAGCGTGTGAATGGCCAACAATCGGATTATCCTCAGCACTTGTTCTGCATCTCCATGGGCGACACTGACTCACGCTGTTGTCTGGAGTTCGCGAGGTTTTTATCGCGCTCGAAAACGGAGCCGAGCGGTGATGTAAGTGGGTAACACTCATGATGTCTGGCTAGATGATCGAAAGCACTGCATAATGCAGTGCTCTCGTACAGCAAACTTCATTAGCCGTCTGAAACTCAACTGACTTGGCGATGAATTCACCGAAACAACTTTCAAACACTGTGTATTAAGCAGGAAGTTGTGCTTTCTTGCAAGTTTGCCGAGTCGAAGGTTCGATGGACTTCTCGTGTGCTCTGTATGGCAGTCGTGAGGCAGTCAAGTGTGACAAGTCGACAGGAAGAAAGCGCATGCTCCAGTCCCACATAGGGAGCTAGCAACGCGCAAATCGAGTGAAGAAGACGAGTTGCCGCTGCCAGGAGCCGCGGACACAAGGCAGTCGTTGTGGATCTCGGTAAGTACATGAGTGTACAGTTTATTGTGTGCAAAGGGACTCGGAGGGTAATGTTTGGGTATTCTAGCGCCGCCAGGCCGACGGAACTAATGGAAGTCTTCATCATTATTAATTTTTGATACAGAATCTCGGGAGTGCTAGCTGTTTAGACCGTGTCGACCCTGTTAGGCCTCAGGCTCAGACGCAGTAGAGCTTTAGAGTGACTGATAATTATTGTGTACACGTATTTCAGTAAAGTATTTTTGAAGAAAGGTGGCTACTCCAAACGCTGGAGCTCGCGCTTCCTGCCGACTGACTGCAGGTTTGCCGAGTGGACGGCCCGGTATTCTTCTCGTGTGCTCCACCCTGCAGTCGTAGTCAGTCAAGTGTCAGTCAGTCGGCAGGAAGCGCGAGTTCCAACGTTTGGACTAGCCGCCTTCTTCTACACTTACCGCCGCAGTCCCAACATCTCAGTTCAAGTATTTTAGTTACCAAAACAGTGATAGGGACTTCGGCGATAACGTACGTGTTATTTTATGGACATGGACACTGGCAAGAAAGCCGCTACATTCGAGTTCGTTATAAGTGAAGTCGAGTGTATGTTCAAGCTATGCGTCATGGCTCATGCCAGGAGTCATGGCATGCAGGTGGTGACAGTCCGCGGGTTTCTTGGCATTCCCCTCCTATCAAAATGGATGGCGCCGTGGTGATGAACATTATCCGTTCTGTTTAGACCTTTGGTGCTAGGAACCGATGGGAACGTTACTATTTCTGTTTTAAGTCCCTGGGCCCTCGTGCTTCGTGGCACCTTCATTCGCTTCCTTGCTATTGAGCACCTCTGCTCGTTTGGTCACTGCGAATTAAAAATAAAATCAACAACAACAACAACAACAACAACAACAACAACAACAACAACAACTATAGTACATAGTAGCTGCTTTTGCTAAACAAATCCTTTCCCAAGGCATTCTCACAGGGCAGTCCTGTAGTTTTACGGTCTTGCTAGGGCTCTACTGCCACGCTGACAGCGTCGTACCCAGTTTCTGGTCCAGCTGTACCCCCCCCCCCCCACACCCCCCGGGCCCGCCCCTGGCCCCATCAAGCCAGGAAAATGCAGCACACTTGAAGTTTAGTGTTGCATCATTTCACCAAACCATTGCCAGAAGAGCAGGGTTCTAGCCAGGTCAAAATAGTAGGGGGGAGAGGGGGGGCAGGGAACTTGAGCAGTTACCCCATAACCCATTTTTCCATTTTCAAAACAACTTCTTGCAACGCGAAATGCAACGTACTGTATGGGGCGAACACCTGACTTCACCCCAGACAAATGTGCCTGTATGAACTCTCATACTGACTATCGACTGCATTTTCGTTGAATGGCATGACAAAACACAAAAATCGGACCATGAGTAGTACGGGGGGGGGGGGGGGGGGGCGCTGCGCCCCCTACCCCCCCCCCCCCTTTAACTAGAACCCTGGAAGAGCATGCACCTGGGGGATCATAGGAGAACTGTAGCTGCTGCTGCAAGTAGTACTGAATTTCCTTGTGTACAAGGGGCACTCCACTATAACTTGTAGGGCCGAAACAATTATACCGATAACTCGCATATCGAACGTGAAGAGTGCAATCGATAATCGTTAGTGTTCAAAATGAGTGCTAACGGTTTTATGCATGCATATCAGTGACAGTATTCTAGCCTTTGCCGCGTGACTCCATCCGATAGTGGATACGAGTGCAATCATGTACTTTCAAGCTCAGTAAAATTGATTTGTGTTTTTGAAAGAGATCAGGAGAGAAGACTGCCTTTTCGGTTCATTTGTGGGAGAAGTCGGAGATGAGAGCAGTTGCCAGAGGGTGATGACAAGATTCTTCACTCTAGAAACAACATGAAATTCTCTACTTGAGTAGTTCACGTTGATGAAACCAGCCAGATATCTACACATGTCGACAGAGCGGTGCCACAAATTTCTAACGTGGCGAAGGCATCATAGAACGTCTTCAAAAACAGGTGTTCCATACAGCCGACAAGAATCGATAAAACCAATATATCGATCGTTAAGGATATTGGTTGTACTTTAGGCGTTATTGAATTATCGTTTCAGCTAGGGGTGAAACGGTTACCCTTTAAGGTAACAAACGGGTATCTGGCTTAACGGGCGGGTTATCGGGTACCCTTTATCCGCCATACTTTTTCCAAAAACATTGCATTTGCTTGGGATCGTAAGCGCAACATGTCTTTTGCAGGCATTCTGATAGGAGAGAGATTTTCGGGCAACAATTTAGCTACAGTAGCCTTCCGGATTTCACGCCAGGAGGATATGCGAAGTCATGCAAGTACACTACACCGCGACAAGCACAGCGTGCACAACCACTGCGCTACATGCAAACAGTCAAAATAGTCGTAGCTACAATGGATACCGTGATATGTAGCAGGATTGAACGAGGGAAAACACACTCAAAACTGTGCACTGAACTGTACAACTGTACAAGCAAGCTTATAACTTAATACTGTACCCTACACGACTATCGGGTACTCGTTTGCTAACGGATCAGCAGCTAAACAGACGGGTACCCGGGTTACCCGGATCACCCCTTTCACCCCTAGTTTCAGCCCTAATTATAAGTCGTGATCCCTTTTTCAAGTGTGAACTATGATTGTTTCCATACATGCACATACACTGTTGGTAGGAAGGTAGGAAGTCACACTCAGTCGATTGTAAGTTGCAGCATCTTCTTTGCACTTGCAGTGTAAAAAAAGGTCATGCGGCGACTTACAGTGCTCCTCAATAGCATCCAGTCGCGTCACTCAATTGAGTAAGAGCTGGGCGTTGCACAGCCATAGGCCTCTGTGAAATGGTGCAAGGCCACACACTTGAGTGACGCGACTGGATTTCATCAAGTTGAGCAGGGCTGTATATTCGGGGTAAATACAGTAGCCGTGTTTGGCGCGCGCACACACGCATGAATGCATGCACACACGCACGCGCACATGCACAATACACAACGTAGAGAGAGAGAGAGAGAGAGAGAGAGAGAGAGAGGATGTGTCGTATGCCAGCAAGACAGCAACTTTGAAAAGAGGTATAATTATAGGAACAGTTATTGCACTAAAGCTACTCGAAAAGGAGTTCTATAATAATATTGAGTGAAGCAGCAGGTCGCGCCAGGCAACAGTTCTCTTGTCAAGTTCTACTGTGTATGTTTTTGGGGGTCAGCATAAAAGTTTCAACAAAAATCACTCTAGGCTCGTTGTAAAAGCAGATTTCTGCATTAGCGTTGTTGGGTCTCACACTGTCATTAAATAAAGCGCAGTTCCAAGTGAAAACATGTCAAATTTACAAATGACTCGCGGCAATGGCGCTACCAGGAGCTTAAGGAAACGCAAAAGGGAAGGCGACTCAACGGCAGACGGCACAGTTCGATTCGTAGAAGTGTCAGGGGGTCATTGCTTAGTTTTAACGCACACCAGAACCGTAACCATCGCTCGTACGCATCATCCGCAACCGTATGCACATGATAACACGTATCCGACGGATACAGTGGCAATAGAAAATGAACAAATCAGATGTGTTCAAAAAACGTTGTTGCACAGCATGCGTGGCTCACAACCACAGCTGCTCATGCAAAGCAATTGGGTCATCTGTACTCTGCTCTTAGAGCTCAGACTGGTGAGTGCCCGCTAAATATTATAAGATAAGCAGGTCGGAGCAGTCGTGTCAACACAGGCTGCTGCCGTTGTGGCAGGCTGGTGGGTAGCGAGCACATCCTCTGCTCACACAGTACCGCTCAGGCCGGCGAGAGTGGTCTGCATGCGCTGTACCTTGCCGATAAGAAACTGCTTGTCCCGGCCCTCCTGCACGAACAGGCACACACACGGATAAAACCAGGGAACGGTCAGCGATGGGACGCACGCCAGGTCAGCACTCGTAATCAAGAAAGGGAAGCGGGAAAACCGAGGTTCCGATTTTTGAATGAAACAGCAATTTTGTGAGTATCCTCATGAATACACAGGCATGCATGACTGGGAGAGGTTAACCAACATACCTTTTATACATGTGCATATGATACGACATGTGCATATATACAATATGCCATGTCATGTACGTGTATTGTACACGTCTAAACAAAGTTCTTTTCTCAATTTTAAAAGCTGTCAGCTGAGAAGAGGGGTCGGTTCGCAGTCTCCGAACCCCCCTGGGAAGAAAGGAGAACTGTGTAGTGTGGTCGGTATTGTAGTTTCCTTACAAGTTGCAGCTGGTCCTTGAGAAGGTTGATGTTCTCCTTCTGAGCCCTGGACAATGCGTAGTAGTAGTAGATGACCAGCCTAGAGAGAGAGAGAGCGAGCGAGAGAGAGAGCGAGAGAGAGAGAGAGAGAGAGAGAGAGAGAGAGAGAGAGAGAGAGAGAGAGAGAGAGAGAGAGAGAGAGAGAGAGCGAGAGAGAGAGCGAGAGAGAGAGCGAGAGAGAGAGCGAGAGAGAGAGAGAGAGAGAGCCAGAGAGAGAGAGAGAGAGAGAGCGAGAGCCAGAGAGAGAGAGAAAGAGCCAGAGAGAGAGAGACTCATTCCGGCAGCAGGTGAACAGACAGTCACAGACAACACAGAGTAGAGTTTTAAAATAGATATTAGGCAACTGCATGTCATGTTCATTCCCCACAACAGCAACAAGAGGTTCGGTGTACAGAAAATATTTTAATTCCTTCTGACAGCTGTTTCGGTCATCAGAGACCTCATCAGAGAAGGTAGAATGTTGAATGACTCGAAAAGAAATATTCACCTATTTTATACTGACTCTTGCAACAATAGACGGCGCATTGCCGCAGAACGCAAAGGTGGTGTTGGTGAAGCGGACCCAGAATTTTTAAGGGCCGAGTGCTGCTGCTTACTTTCTTGTAACTGCATGTAAATTGTTTCTATGCCGAGTGACAGACTTCTCCCCACGGCAGACAGATGCATAGCCTGTCTGGGGCAAGGGGGGGGGGGCATGTCCCCCCCCCCCACCCCCTAAAAATTTCGATCTAGATTCGGGGTGCACATGGATGACATGCGGGATTCAATCATTCCCATGCAAACAAAGTATGTTACATCCAGGCTAGTACCAAGAGTAGAAAAACAAGAGTGTGCAACTCCGGGATGGGTTGGCCCGCGGCGGAATTTTTTGTTGACGTAATCTTTTCGACGACGCACGCGCTGCGAGTCCTTTGGAAAGTTTTGCCTCGTGCACTTGGCCGGGCTTTACATTACAAGGTCGGTACCTAGCATGTGCTCTCACACTGCTCTGTGGCAAAATGCGCGTTCTTCTGAAAAAAGGTGACGTCAACAACAAATTCCGCCGCGGGCGGGGGTATCTGCAGATTGTGCAGAAGAGATCCGGAGTTGCACACTCTTGTTTATCTACTCTTGGTAGTACCATATACCGAACTGCTTTACTGTACAAGCTAGACATGTACAGCGCTGCTCAATGAAATCCAGTTAAGTCACTCAAGTACACGCCGGGCGCTGTGCAGCCCTAGCTAGACCTGCGAACACTGGGCTGCGAAATCATGCAAGGCGCAATCTCGAGTGACGCGACTGGATTTCATTGAGCAGCACTGTAGAGTGTTGTGCTATGTTGATCGTGAGTGTGTACAGCAGCGCTACTCAGCCAACATCACCCAACTGTACTTACAGCATCAGGATGAGCAGGGGTGCTATGAACGCTGCCGAGCCGATGAAGTCGATGATGGTCTCCAGCCAGCCGGGTGCCTTGTCAATCAGTTCGGGAATGATGTCATAGATGTGTTCCTTGCCCCTGTGTGTGCATGATGTCATGATGTCATGATGGTACAGACACATACGCGTGTGCACATGTACACACAATGCATGCACGCACATACGTGCAAGCACAAGCACACACACACACATATGCGCACATACACACACACACACGCACGCACACACAAACATGCACATACAATTATACATACACACAAAGAAACGCAAACCAGTCATTGAAAGGGTACAGAGAGAGAGAGAGAGGGAGTGTAGTGAATACGTGTCTGTTCACCTGTGCATGTGTGTGTGTGCATGTGCATGTGTGTGTGTGCATGTGCATGTGCGTGTGCGTGTGCGTGTGCGTGTGCGTGTGCGTGTGCGTGTGTGTGTGTGTGTGTGTAGGGATTCACTGGCCAGAAAAAGCCACTTCATAGCTGTGTGGTGTAGACCAGGCTGAATAGTGGCGGTCAATTCTTCAGCCTTGCAAGCTGTTGAATGGTGCAATCCCAGCACAAGCTGCTATGGCTTCTGCTGTAGCATCGCTATCATCGCCTCCGGCGATGGGCGTCCTATGGTCCAATGGTCCAATGGTCCAATGGTCCAATGGTCCAATGGTGTGTGTGTGTGTGTGTGTGTGTGTGTGTGTGTGTGTGTGTGTGTGTGTGTGTGTGTGTGTGTGTGTGTGTGTGTGTGTGTGTGTGTGTGTGTGTGTGTGTGTGTGTGTGTGTGTGTGTGTGTGTGTGTGTGTGTGTGTGTGTGTGTGTGTGTGTGTGTGTGTGTGTGTGTGTGTGTGTGTGTGTGTGTGTGTGTGTGTGTGTGTGTGTGTGTGTGTGTGTGTGTGTGTGTGTGTGTGTGTGTGTGTGTGTGTGTGTGTGTGTGTGTGTGTGTGTGTGTGTGTGTGTGTGTGTGTGTGTGTGTGTGTGTGTGTGTGTGTGTGTGTGTGTGTGTGTGTGTGTGTGTGTGTGTGTGTGTGTGTGTGTGTGTGTGTGTGTGTGTGTGTGTGTGTGTGTGTGTGTGTGTGTGTGTGTGTGTGTGTGTGTGTGTGTGTGTGTGTGTGTGTGTGTGTGTGTGTGTGTGTGTGTGTGTGTGTGTGTGTGTGTGTGTGTGTGTGTGTGTGTGTGTGTGTGTGTGTGTGTGTGTGTGTGTGTGTGTGTGTGTGTGTGTGTGTGTGTGTGTGTGTGTGTGTGTGTGTGTGTGTGTGTGTGTGTGTGTGTGTGTGTGTGTGTGTGTGTGTGTGTGTGTGTGTGTGTGTGTGTGTGTGTGTGTGTGTGTGTGTGTGTGTGTGTGTGTGTGTGTGTGTGTGTGTGTGTGTGTGTGTGTGTGTGTGTGTGTGTGTGTGTGTGTGTGTGTGTGTGTGTGTGTGTGTGTGTGTGTGTGTGTGTGTGTGTGTGTGTGTGTGTGTGTGTGTGTGTGTGTGTGTGTGTGTGTGTGTGTGTGTGTGTGTGTGTGTGTGTGTGTGTGTGTGTGTGTGTGTGTGTGTGTGTGTGTGTGTGTGTGTGTGTGTGTGTGTGTGTGTGTGTGTGTGTGTGTGTGTGTGTGTGTGTGTGTGTGTGTGTGTGTGTGTGTGTGTGTGTGTGTGTGTGTGTGTGTGTGTGTGTGTGTGTGTGTGTGTGTGTGTGTGTGTGTGTGTGTGTGTGTGTGTGTGTGTGTGTGTGTGTGTGTGTGTGTGTGTGTGTGTGTGTGTGTGTGCGTGCAAGCGTATACACATAGGTGCAGAGTGTTTCAGCAAAGATTCATTCTAGTGACCTTGCATAGGTATAAGTTATTGTGTGTGCGTGTCATGGCCTTACCGAAATGGTCCACACTGGGCAGAGGGTGTGATCCTGAAGTGCAGAGAGATTATACACGACCACAAACACACACACACACACACACACACACACACACACACCCACGCACACACACACACACAGACCAGATGGATATGAAGCGGTAGCTCTTATCTGTTTGGCAGCAAGGGACTAGACGCAGGCAATATTCCATTAGCCCACTCAGACCCTGAATAGTAAATGGTTCAATGAGTGATCACACAGCCTCAGCCAATTCGGCTCATTTTCATTTTATTCGCCTTGCGTTGGCCAGGGTCGTGATATACTGTCCCCGCAAGTAGCACCACATCCGGGTGGGAATCGGGCATGCTGGGAACGCAGGACATGCAAATATTCCCGAACCGATCAGGTTTCCTGACACTGTGCCGCTCGTCTAACCTGTATGAACGGAGTGGGGCTAATTTAGAATTCGAGAGAGAGAGATTTTAAGATTTAAAGCATCTGTTTGGCGGACATTGAACGTAGCGATAACCAATTTTAAAACTATGATAGCACCTACCTGACAATGGCATATCCGATAGGAATGAGACAAAGGAAGAGCGTAAGTAGCAGAAGAGCACGAAAGATGTTGCTGTTCCTCGCAGCCCTGTATGGCCGGTCACTCGGCTTCAGGTTGTGAAACAAGCTGAACTGTACGTGTGTCACGGGCAGCAACACAAACAGTGCGAAGCGTGCAGACGTACATACATTCACATGCACACACACGCACGCAGATGCACACACACACACACGCACATACACACACACACACACACACACACACCCACATACACACACACACACATGCACGCACACGCGCGCACACACACACACACACGCACGCACACACACGCATACACATATGTAGACAAACACTCGAACATTATG